TTTGTAATTATTCATTCTTAACGTGTGATTTCTGTCTGTCCTCCTAGAGAAAACCTGATGGTCTCCATCCTGGACCTGTCATTGTGTGTTCATTTCTCCTTTCTGTCCTCTCAAACCCAGCCGGTCGAAGCAGATGACCATTTGTCCTGAGCCTGGCTCTACTAAAGGTTTTTCCTCATGAGGGAGTTTTTCCTTTCCACTATTGCCTCTGTGCTTGCTTAGGATGGGAGACTGTGATGAAGTGAAAACTCTTAAGCAATTTGCTGGCTCCTTAGATAAATAACGTTAGTATGTGAATGTTTCTGTTCAGTGCCCTGAGACAACTTCTGTTGTGATTTGGCACTTTATAAATAAATTGAATCGAGTTGAATAGTAAGTCGGACCCTTCCAGAGCTGCTCATTGTCACAGATTCTGTTCATAACTTTTATACCATACCATTTTATTTATAGAGCACTTTAAACAGCGACAGGGCCAACCAAAGTGCTGCACAAACAGAAACAAACAGGTAAAGCACACAGCAACATATAACATAACGTAAAATCAAAATATAGAAACAAAAGCAGAGGTAACTCATTCCAAAGTCTTGGTCCTGCGACAGAGAAGGCCATGTCACCACTGCGCTCAAGACGAGTTCTTGGAACTGAGACAAGCAACTAGACTGAATTTCTCGGTGCAGTCATGGGGTGGAGGGATTCCGGTTCGGTGGCCTCAGGATTCATCTCTGATCTTTGCAGATGATGTGGTCCTGTTGGCGTCATCGTGCCGTGATCTTCAGCTCTCACTGGAGCGGTTGTGAGGCAGCTGGGATGAGAACCAGCACCTCCAGATCTGAGACCATGGGCCTCAGTCATAAAAGGGTGGATTGCTCTCTTCAGGTCGAGGGTGAGGTTCTGCCTCAAGTGAAGGAGTTCAAGTATCTCGGGGTTTTGTTCAAGAGTGAGAGAAGAATGGAGCGTGAGATTGACAGACGGACAGATGCAGTATTGTGGACTCTGTATCGGTCCATTGTAATGTAGAGAGAGCAGAGCTGTAAGACAAAGCTCTCTGTTTACTGGTCAGTCTACGTTCCTCCCCTCACCTCTGGTTAGAGATTCATGAGTCTAACAGCCTCAGGGTAGAAGCTGTTCCTCAGTCTAGTGGTTCTACACTTAATGCTCCTCAACCTCCTTCCTGAGGGGAGTGGGGCAAAAAGTGTGTGTGCTGGGTGAGTGGGGTCCTTCATGATGCAGGTGGCCCTCTTCCTGCATCTGGAGGTGTAGATGTCTGTGATGATGGGGAGGCTGACTCCAACATCTTCTGTGCAGCCTTCACCACTCTCTGCAAAGCTTTTCTTTCTGCAGCTGTGCAGCCTCCATGCCACACGTTGATGCTGGAGCACAGGATGCTCTCCACTGCACACCTGTAGAAGGAGGTGAGGACTGAGCTTCCAGACCAGCTCGTCTCAGCCGCCTGAGGAAGTAGAGTCTCTGATGAGCTTTCTTCATCAGGCTGGTGGTGTTGTTGCTCCAGCTGAGGTTGTTGTTCATGTGCACACCAAGTTCTTGTAGCTGGAGACCACTTCCACTGCAGATCCTCTTATGTTCAGGGGGGTGTAGATGTTTTTGTTCCTTCTGAAGTCCACAATCATCTCCTTTGTCTTCTTCACATTGTGAAGGTTTTTCTTCCTGCACCAGCTCTCCGGGTGTTCCACCTCCTGCCTGTAGCTGGACTCATCATTGTTTGTGATGCATCCCACCACCACTGTAACATCTGCAAACTGTACAATGTGACAGCCTGGATGGGTAGCTGCACAATCATACATGAGCAGAGTGAACAGGAGAGGGCTCAAGACACATCCCTGAGGAGAGCCAGTGCTGAGGGTTATGGTGGAGGAGGAGAATTTGTGGATCCTCACTGACTGTGGTCTGTTTGTTAAAAAGTCTAGGACCCAGTTGTAAATGGAGGGGCTTAGTCCTAGTGTGGATAGTTTGTCCATCAGTGTTTGTGGGATCATGGTGTTGAAGGCAGATGTGAAGTCCACAAAGAGCATACAGACCTAGGAGTCCTTCTGCTGCAGGTGGGTGAGAGTAGTGTGAACTAGAGATGGCGTCCTCTGTTGATCGATTCTCATGGTATGCGTACTGATGAGGGTCCTCGTTGATGTTTATGGTTGTTTTGATGTGAGTCATGTCCAGTTTTTCGAAGCATTTAGTGACTATCAGGGTGAGGGCCACTGGTCTATAGTCATTCAGACCAGTCACTGTAGAGCTCTTTGGGACTGGGATGATGGTGGCAGTCTTCAGACAGGTGGGAACTGTCTCCAGGGTAAGTGAGGAGTTAAAGATGTCTGCCAGCACCTCACAGAGTTGTTTGGCACATTCTTTCAACACTTTCCCGGGGATGTTGTCTGGGCCAGTTGCCTTGTGAGGAGTAATCCTCCTGAAAGTACTCCTCACTTCTGCTGAGGTCACGCTGAGATGCTCTTCTTCTGGTGGTGAGGTGAGTCTGGTGCTTGGTGGTTTGTTCGGGTCTTCAAAGTGTGTGTAGAACTTGTTGAGGGCATCAGGCAGTAATCTCTAGGGCCTTGTTCACTCTTGCCTTTATAATCTGTTATGCACTTAATGCCCCTCCACATGCTCTGTGGGTCTTGTGAGGTGAACTGACCCTGGATCCTCTGTTCATGTGGCCTTGGCCCTCTTAATACCAGCAACCAGCTCTTTCCTTGTCCTTTGCAGCTCTTGTGAGTTTCCAGACCTGAAGGCAGTGTTCCTGGCTTCCAGCAGGGTGTGAACCTCTGCATTCAGCCAAGGCTTTCTGTTCGTGTAGCTCTTAACATATCTGGTGGTGGTGACGTCATCAGCACATTTACCAATGTACCCCAGGACTGAGGATGTTTATTGAGGTGTAGTGCCCCCTCATTTTCAGCAGCTTCTCTGAAGACCTGCCAGTTTGTGTGTTCAAAACAGTCTTTCAGTATGGGGCCACTATTCTGTATCCAAGATTTAACTTTCTTTTGTACCGGCGGCTTTGTATGAATCTTTTACGTTTGTGTAAACATGGTTCATTGTGTTGTTGCCACTTGTTGGTATGGCCACATGCTGGTAAAATCTGTGGAGACAGTTTTTTTGATTCACGTCACCAGCCACCACGTAAAGAGACTCGGGTGTTTGCTCTGCAGCGAGCTGAAGAGATCTTGCAGCTCTTGCAGAGCGTCTGTAGCATTAGCATCTGGAGCTATGTAAACAGCTGTTATGAACACCGCTGTGAACCCGCGGGGTAGATAATGTGGTCGACATTTCACTGTTAGCTGCTCCATAGCCTTGGAACAATGACGGTTTATCAGCGTACAGTTTGTGCACCAACTTTTAGTCATGTAAATGCACACCCCACCTCCCCTCGATTTTCCTGTTAGCTCATTGCAACAGTTCGCTCGGGAAAAAGTCTGTCGTCCATCTGGAAGGCTGAGTCCGGCATGTTGCTGTTGAGTCATGATTCCGTGAGACAAAGCACTGCACATTTCCTCATCTCCTCTGAGGCGCCCACTCCCAGACGAAGCAAATCTATCTTGTTGTCCAAAGAGCGGACGTTCGACAGAAAGAGAGAGAGTATCGGTAGTTTGCCAGCCTTAGCATTAGTTAGCTTTTAGCCTCACCATCACCCCCGCCTGGAAACCTCACTTTTTAAGCCGGGAGCAGCGCTTCCTCTTCCTGTTTGAGCGCCTCTGCTGAAGCTTCCAGGTAGATGACTTTAGGATCTGCGTTCTGCTGACCGTAGATTTGAGATTGTTGCTGCTCGCTGCTGTAATCCGTGGTAAATCTGCTCTTATTCTCATCAATTCAGTTCAGCTATAATTCACATGCATAAAGTGTGCAGAGTCAGGCTCGGAGTCAATTTCAAAATGCATAAAAACTGGGATCGCATCGGGAGCCTTGAAGCTGCAGCTCCCGAAAGCGTGGCCATCTTGAGCCAACTTATCATCATCTGCAGTTTGCTAAAGATCACGTGGACAAGCCAGAAGGTTGTTGAAAGAATGTTTTGTAGACAGATGAGACCAAAATAGGACTTTTTGGTTTAAATGAGAAGTGTTCTGTTTGGAGAAAGGACAACAGCATTCCTGCAGAAGAACCTTCTCCCATCTGTGAAACATGGCGGTGGTAATATCATGGTTTGGGTCTGTTTTGCTGCATCTGAGCCAGGATGGCTTGCCATCATTGATGGAACAATGAATTCTGGATTCTATCAGAGAATTCTAAAGGAAAATGTCAGAACATCTGCACACACCAGATACTGAAAGCAAAGGTTCACATACTTTTACCACTCACAATCTCAAATATGTAATATTGGATCATTTTCCTCAATAAATAAATGATCAAGTCTAATATTGTTGTCTCGTTTGTTTAACTGGGTTTTCTTTATCTACTTTTAGGACTTGTGTGAAAATCTGAAGATGTTTTAGGTCATTTATGAAGAAATATAGAAAATGATAAAATCACAAACTTTCAAACACCGTGGTTTTAAACCAATCAGCAGATAAAGACAGGTGAATTAGAGATTAGTTGATTTAATCTGTGATAAGATGGTTTGTTTCAGGATTGTTTCCTGGAATATCTTGTAAAAAGATCTAAAGCTCTCAACCTTTTCAAACATCTGTTAAGTTCCTGGAAAAACCAACGCAGACATGTTCCTGTTTTTAGTTTTCTACACCGCCTTATATTCTGTTTTTTTTTTACTTTTCCTTTTAATTATTTTATTTTCACTTGTTTCTAAAAAAAAAATAATTTGTACGGATCCTGTATGATTGTCTATGATTGTCCACTGTTGTCATCACCCTTTGTTAAAACAGGTCTCTCTTGTAAATGAGTCCTCGAGACTCAATGAGACTAACCTGTAGAAATAAAGGTTGAATGAAAAAATAAATAATTAAATAAATAAATATGGTATGGAGCAGCAGGTCAAACTCTCTGAGCTGTTGGACGTCTCCATGCTGAGTTTGTCTCTGACGTTTGTCCCATGTCCCTGTCCAGACGCCTGTCTCCTCCGTCAGGACCCCGGCGGCTGCCAGAATTACTCCATGAAGTGGTTTTTCGACCGGCTTCAGAAGGAATGCGCTCGCTTCTGGTACGGTGGCTGCGGCGGCAACAACAACCGCTTCGAGACTCGAGTGGAGTGTGAGAAGATGTGTGCGACGAAGAATCGATGAGGAGGAAGAGCAACTGAACCCAATCTGGACTCAGCAGCTGATGACTGAACCAGGAAACGTTGTCTTCTTCTACATACATGTCAAATTTCTACGGAGGCCCTGAAGAGTCATAGCTGGTACGTTTCTACAGATTTAGAAGAAAGACTTTGAGTTTTCCTCGGAGTCATGAAGGTGGACATTAAAGACTTCGACTTTAACACGACACAAACTTCAACACGCAGATAATTCGTCTTTTTGTTCAGAAGTTTGAGGATTTTCTGATCTGTTCTCTTGGTCCCAGTACGACAAAAACTCTGGTTCTGTTTGGTCATGTGGTAGAAGCTGCAGGATGGTTCTGATTCTGGTTTGTTTCTGGGTCTCAGCAGTCCAGTTTGAGCCTTTAACAACAACAGAACTGGTCATTATAAAATCCAGGATCAGTGTCGGAGGAACAGAGTAATCTGAATTACAGAAAGTCTTCAGATTATCAGCCCATAAACCCATCTGCACGTTAAGTTCTTCTGCTCCACAACACCGGGTCGTCTTCAGGTTCTGCAGAAGGTTCTCATGAAGACGAACAAGAACTTCAGTTACTCTGTGAATCTGACGGACATGACCTGAAGATTGGACTTCTTTCAAACACAAGATAAAACATAAAAAACACAAACGCCGTGTGCAAATCCTTAAAGAAACAAGACTCCATGTTAAACTCGAGTGTTTTTTCAACTGTTAGAAGAATCTGTGAGAAACAGAAAGTTTGTTTTTTATTCACTACATCAGGAAACTTGTGTTCATGATAATAATGAGTAGGTGGCACCACTCAGCACCACAGAAGAAAAAGTGAACATAAGTGTGACTCTACATAGCCTCCGTAGAACATCCACCCTAAGCACTTCCTGTTTTCAGGGTTCAACTTCCTGCTGGACATTTGTTTCCGTCCTCTGATTAGGTGCTACGTTTCTGTGCTGATGATTTGTTCTGAATGTTTGAAGGAACCTCAGAAGATATTAAAGAGTTTCTGTAAACCTCGTCTAAACCTGCTCCGTTATTTAAGAGACAAACAGGACGAATCAGGTGAAGACGTCTTCAGGTGACAGGTAACATTAGTACAGGTACATTTTCATCTTTATTGTGACAAAAGTCAGCAAAATATCAGACAGCTCAAACTTTTTACTTTAATTTTTTAATCAGGTGTCCCAAAAAAATAAATAAAAGATTCAGATGATGTTACCAGACTGATATCTGTTACTTGACTGTTTCCTGTTACCTGAGCTGTTACTTGACTGTTTCCTGTTACCTGATACCTGTTACTTGACTGTTTCCTGTTACCTAACTGATATCTGTTGCCTAACTGTTTCCTGTTACCTAACTGATACCTGTTACTTGACTGTTACATGTTACCTG